TTAGCTGGTAGGGGACCTCTGCATGAATCTCTCCTCACTCTCCGTTCTCTTTCAGTATTCTCACTCCATTTGGTGCTCGTCTGAGTTCTTTATCTCTTCATTTGATGTTCTAGGGTTTCGGGATTGTTGCATTCTCTGTTTGGCTTAGTTCTTCGGATCTTTGCTGTGGAGGGACGGCGTGGTGTTTCTGCCTAGAGCGCCATCTTGCCAGAGCCTCAATAGATATTTCTTACAGTATAAATGTCTATTACCTCCCAAACAGATATTTCCTATAGCATAAATTGGAGCCCTGGTAGTGCAGTGGTTAAGTATTAGGCTGCTAACCAAAAGGTTGGCAGTTCGAATCCACCATTTGTTGCTTGGAAACCCTACGGGGCAGTTCTCTGTCCTACATGGTCGCTATGAGTCAGAATCGACTTGACAGCAGTGGGTTTTGTTTTTTTCCTTTTTTTAAATGCATAAATGTTAATTCTAGGTCTTATCCCAGGCCTGAATTTCACCCAACTCAGGTTTCTTTTCTAAAGAGACTAGCTAGCTGGCTTTATCTTTAAAGGACTTCTAGATGTTCACTAAACTCATTTTCTTTTCTTCTTGGACACATTCCTAGTCTACATTTCTAAGTCCCTTCTACAGTTAAATGTGGCCAATGGAATGTGAGAGAAAATGATGTGTACCACTTCTAGGCCTGGTCAATGAAAACAACTCACATTTGGTCCTCCATGCTCTTTTATCTTCTGGTAGCTGGATGTTTATGCTCAAGGCAACCCAGAAGCCACCATACACTAGGATACCTGAATGACCTTCTGGAGCAGAACTCCTACCACCACTACTGATGCTGAATTTCCTTGGACTATTATATGAGAAAATAAATCTATATTATGATTGAACCATTATACATTTGGGTCTAGCTGTCACAACAGCTAGCCTATATGCTAACTAACATACCACCAGGGATGAAGGTTGCTAATTTTTTTAAGATTGCTTATTCCTACCTAAATCAATCTACTGCCAATATCTGGCTATATTGCATCCTCTTGTATTAATATTCTAATTTCTAATATTGTATATCAGAGTGCCTTCTATAATCTTGTTTTATTTTTGTTATCTAATTTTTATTACTGAATATCTGGATGCATTGTGTCATACTGAGTTGATGTTATCTACTTGAAGCATGCCAGAATGAAAAACCCAAGTGAGTAGTTATTGTTCATTTTGGCATTAACATTTTGCATAGCATATAATCAAGGTGTTCTTTAACTGATGAAAACTATTCTCTGTTCAGTGTTAGTAACTCAAAACTAAAATAACTTGAATACTCTTAGCTCATTTTTATGTTTCGTACATCTTTGCCAACCTTATCAAATTATTTCCATATGAAATGATAAAAAGATTTACTAGCCTCTGAAACACTTTCATTTGAAGTAAATAACTATGAAAGAATTTACTTATTCTGACCAGTTTTTTAAGCATTTGTAATTTACTAAACAAGGTTGCGGTATTTGTATATTCAGGTTCTAATGTGAGGTTTTTCAGAATGAATTTGCATATAATTAGACTTCAGAAATGAAACCATTAAAATCTGAGTATTACTGAGCAAACTATTTATTATTTATATAGTTCTGGAGCCCTGGTGGTGCAGTGGTTAAGAACTCGGCTGTTAACCAGAAAGTCAGCAGTTCAAATCCATCACCTGCTCCTTGGAAACCCTATGGGGCAGTTCTACTCTGTCCTATAGGGTCACTATGAGTCAGAATCTACTCAACAGTAATGGGCTTGGGCTTGGGCTTGGGCTATATGGGATCAAACTGACAACAGCAACTCTAAAGATTTTAACCTTAGGGGGCAGCAAATTTATCTTAATGGGGAAGAAACAACTCAGAAAAGGAAGGTGAGAATTGTTGTACAACTCAAAGAATGTAATCAATGTCACCGAATTGTACATGCAGAAACAGGTGAACTGGTGTATGCTTTGCTGTGTATGTTCTCAACAATAACAAAAACAAAATAAATAAAATTAAGTTAAAGAAAACAAACTTTTAACAAAGAGAGGATTCTGAATGAAGCCATATAGACAAGCAAATAAGACATTATCAGACATGATTTTGGAGCCAGAAAGACCTGAATTTGAAAGCTAGCTCAACATTACCATGCGATGTTGCATAGTTTACTCAACTTTTTTAAGCCTCAGTTTCTTCATCTTTAAAATGACGGTGCTAATAGCTATCTTACCCAAAAACCAAACCCACTGCTGTCAAGTTGATTCCAACACATAATGACCCCATAGGGCTTCCAAGGCAGAAAATCTTTATGGAGGCCCCATCTTTCTCCCATGGAGCCTCTGGTGGTTTCAAACCACTGACTTTCCTGTTAGCAGCCAGGTGCTTTAACCACTGCACCACGAGGGCTCCCTAGCTATCTTACAGTGTTGTATAAATGACTACCACATATACACAGATAGAAAATGACTAGCACATTTCAAATTGTTGTTGCCCTTTGCCTTTTCCTTAAACCAACTGACAGAAGATCTTGCATTTCTAGAAAGACTGGCTTTTATATTGTAATCAATTCAGTGCATCTCGCATATATCTTCATTGACTTACTGACCTAATAACCTCAATAATTTTTCTTTCCATCAGAGCAATTTTCTTTATTATTTATTTCTGCAGGAAGAAGTTGAGGTGGTTCACAATAAAAATATGAAAAAAGAGGGAAGATAAAAACAAGGATAAAAGGATTTTGTGACAGTCTCATAGCCTCTTGAAAAAGGTAGAGGATTGGGCTTTCAGTTCAGTTTTATCCTACTAGCTACTTCATCTTTTCCTAGGTTTGCTTTTCTATCTCCAATACAAATAAACTCTCAGTCTGAAAATAAGTAGGAGAGCACTAAGAAATATGAAATACTATTAAAGAAATGAAGGACCCGGCGAGAGCCATACTGCTAGAATAAGTAGAACTGCATGAGGGTTTGTAATTCTATCCCCTGAGATTCTCTACAACTTTTGCTTTACTTTAACTGGTTTCATTTCTCATCAGTCCAGTTGCTTGTTTGTGGACTGTTTTACTCTTCTAAGGTATAAATACATTAATAAATACGAACAAAGTTCAAGAAAGAGCTTCTGAAACCACTGTACTACATAAACACAACAGAGACAAAAATAATTTTCAGAGTTTTTTCCACAGCATTTCATTTCTATTTAATCTTATTAATTTATAGAAAAATGTTTTTAGTATTTCAACCTCTTATTTCCTCCTCACCCTCAGATCTCAGATGCTTAAATGATCATTGAAAACCAATACATATTTAATGTACAGCTTGATATTCAAGATAATAATGAATTGACATATCCAGAGGGTAAAAAGCAAAAGTCCAAGCAAAAACAGGAAAAAGGTATAAGGAATTTTTAAAAATAATATAAACAAATTAAATAAATAATAACATGAAAGATAAACTTCTTGCAGCATGTATTATTGTCCCTATTTTAGTTCTTTCCTTACCTGCGGGTGCTGTTGGATTCTATCATTTGACTTGTGTTCACCTGAATCTGAAAGTCGTGTTTTTCTTCTTTCTTTCTCCAGTGGTACAGTCTCCGAATCTAAATCTTTAACTTTTACTTCACTAATATCCATTTGCATGGCTGTCTTAGTTTGCTCACTTTTAAGTAACTCCTTCCTTTGATTCAGAAGATAGTCAAGCTGATGCTTAGTTTTTTCAGCTTCCTGTTTTTCAAAAAATAACAGTTATCAAGCATTATTTTCTATTGCACTTTCCTGCCAATACCACAACCTTTAGGGATCTGCATGTACTCAGGCCCACAATCATTCCTCAAACTTTTATTGTCACTGAATTGGAGGGAGCTAAATTAAGCCAGAAATATAATCCGTAGTTTAACTCCACAAGTAAAATTAAAAACTGTGAAGAAACTTTTTCCACTTTGAGGGCTATTTTTATACCCAGGAAGTTCTCCAGCTATTATTTTTTTTTAAGGCTCCAATTACTTTACAGGCACAATAAAAATTAATAAAGTATATATTATAAAAGTGATAAATTATAACCAGAATAACTAATATCCACAATATGAAATAATGAAACAAAAGGTGGAAAATTAATTATTCTAGAACACAAATGTTCTTAAAAATGTAACTTTTTGATAATTTTTAAAATTTTTATTTAATTATACAAATAATAGGCTATTTGTATGAAAGACTATATAGATCAACAAAAAGAAAGCTCACAAATTTCACCACATAGACAAAAATCACTGTCAACATTTTGATGTATATCTTTTTTTAGTTATTTCTAAATATAGCTAGTGTACATGTGTATTTTTAACTATATAGATTGGATTATACTACACATATTCCCATTATCTGTTCTTTTCATGAGATAGTGTTATAGCACATTTAACAATATATTTAGCAAATTTCTTATTGATGGACATTTAGGTCATCTCAAAATTTTTCCTATTAAAAATACCACAAGATACACACTTGTACAAAATCTCTGTACATTTTTTTCTTTTTTAATATCAATGTTCAGAAGTAGAACTGATGAATGAAAAGGCTATGTATGTACTTTCCAAAACTTTTGTTACATATTTTCTTCCAGAAACATATCAATTCTTACTAATAATAGAGATGTGTGAAAGACTGCTCATTTCAGTGTACATCTACAAATACATATTTCCATTTCTTAAACTTTGACCAAAATTATAAGTAAAAGAAAATGTATCTCACTGTTATTTTAAATTATATTGATTTGATAACCAGTGAGGTTGAATATATTTGTGTGCGTGTACTGGCCATGAATGTTTCTGAATTCTGCCTTGCCTACTTGTGTCCTTTGTTTAAGTAATAAGGCAATTCCTGTTATTTATAAGTTTGTAAAAAAAATCTTCACATAAAACATTTTGTAAAAAAAATCCATTTTTTCTTTATATTTAATGATTGTGTTACCATAAAAAAAGTTTTACATATATATATATGTGTGTGTGTATATATATATATATATGATATATTAACATATTCCTTTGTGGTATAATGCTTAGAAAACCTTGCTCTAGCCAAGACCACAGAACTTACAGCCAATATATATACAGCTGATATATTAACATATTCCTTTGTGGTATAATGCTTAAAAAGCCTTGCTCTAGTCACAGAACTGTTAACCCAGTGTTTCTTCGATATATTCAGACAGAGTTCATTCTTACTTTCAGATCTTAAATCAATCTGCAACTTATTATGATACATTGTTTATAATAGAGACCTAACTTTATTTTTCCCAGTGTTGTTGTTGTTGTTAGTTGAGTCAGTTCCAACTCACAGTGACCCTATATACAACAGAATGAAACACTGCCCAGTCTTGCACAATCCTCACAATTGTTGTTATGTCTAAATCCACTTTGCACCCCCTCTATCAATCCATCTCATCAAGGGTCTTCCTCTTTTTCGATGACCCTCTACTTTACCAAGCATGATGTCCTTCTCCAGGGAATGATTCCTCCTGATAACATGTCCAAAGTGTGTGAGACATAGTCTCACCATTCTTGCTTCTAAGGAGTATTCTGGTTGTATTTCTTCCAAGATAGATTTGTTCGTTCTTTTGGCAGTCCATAGTATATTCAATATTCTTCTCCAACACCACAATTCAAAGGTGTCAATTCTTCTTCAGTCTTCCTTATTTACTGCCCAGCTTTCAAATGTATATAAGGTGACTGAAAACACCATGGCTTGTGTCACGGACTGAATTATGTCCCCAAAAACATTTGTCAACTTGGCTAGGTCACTATTCTCAGTATTGTATGATTATGTACCATTCTGTAATCTGATGTGATTTCCTTATGTGTTGTAAACTCTATCACTATGATGAAATAAGATTTAGTGGCAGTTATACTGATGAGGTCTACAAGATTAGATAGTGTCTTAAGCCAATCTCTTTTGAGATATAAAAGAGATAAGCGAGCAGAGACACACTGGAACCTCATACCACCAAGAAAGCAGTGCCAGGAGCAGAGCTGGTCCTTTGGACCTGAGATTCCTACACAGAGAAGCTCCCAGACCAAGGGAAGACTGATGACAAGGACCGTCCTCCAGAGCTGACAGAGAGAGAAAGCCTTCCCCTGGAGCCGGCACCCTGAATTTGGACTTGTAGCCTACTGGACTGTGAGAGAGTAAACTTCTCTTGTTAAAGCCATTCACTTGTGGTATTTCTGTTATAGCAGCACTAGATGACTAAAACAGCTTGGGTCAGGCGCACCTTAGTATTCAAGGTGACATCTTTGCTTTTCAATACTTTAAAGAGGTCTTTTGCACCAGATTTTCCCAATGCAATGGAGTTTTTCGATTTCTAGACTGTTGCTTCCAAGGGTGTTGATTGTGGATCCAAGTAAAATGAAATCCTTGACCACTTCAATCTTCTCTCCATTTATCATGATGTTGCGTATTGATCCAGTTGTGAGAATTTTTGTTTCCTTTAGGTTGAGGTGTAATCCGTACTGAAGGCTGTGGTCTTTGATCTTCATAAGTAAGTGCTTCAAGTCCTCTTCACTTTCAGCAAGCAAGGTTGTGTCATCTGCATAACACAGATTGTTAATGAGTCTTCCTCCAATCCTGATGCCCCGTTCTTCTTCACATAGTCCAGCTTCTCAAATTATCTGCCCAGGATACAGACTGAATAGGTATGGTGAAAGGATACAACCCTGACGCAAACCTTTCCTGACTTAAACCACGCAGTATCCTCTTGTTCTGTTTGAACAACTGCCTCTTGATCTATGTACCGGTTCTTCACGAGTACAATTAAGTGTTCTGGAATTCCCATTCTTCACAATGTTATACGTAATTTGTTATGATCCACACAGTCGAGTGTCTTTGCACAGTTAATAAAACACAGGTAAACATCTATCTGGTATTCTGTGCTTTCAGCCAGAATCCATCTGACATCAGCAATGATATCCCTGGTTCCATGTCCTCTTCTGACTCCAGCTCAAATTTCTGGCAGTTCTCTGTCCATATACTGCTGCACGCTTTTGAATGATCTTCAGCAAAATTTTACTTGCATGTGATATTAATGATATTGTTCAATAATTTCCGCATTCAGTTGGATCACCTTTTCTGGGAATAGGCCTAAATATAGACCTCTTCCAGTTGGTTGGCCAGGTAGCTGTCTTCCAAATTTCTTGGCATAGACGAGTGAGCACTTTCAGCACTGCATATGTTTGTTGAAATATCTCAATTGATATTCCATCAATTCCTGCAGCCTTGTTTTTTACCAATGCCTTCAGTGCAGCTTGGAATTCTTTCTTCACCACCATCAGTTCTTGACCATATGCTACCTCCTGAAATGGCAGAACATCGACCAATTCATTTTAGTATAGTGATTCTGTGTATTTCTTCCATCTTCTTTTGATGCTTCCTGTGTCGTTTAATATTTTCCTGGTAGAATCCCTCAAAATTGCAACTCGCAGCTTGAATTTTTTCTTCAGTTCTTTCAGCTTGAGAAATTCTGAGCATGTTCTTCCCTTGTGGTTTTCTATTTCCAGTCTTTGCACATGTCATTCTAATACTTTTACTTTGTCTTCTAGGGCTGCCCTTTGAAATCTTCTGTTCAGCTCTTAGACGTCATCATTTCTTCCTCTTGCTTTAGCTACTGGATGTTCAAGAGCAAGTTTCAGAGTCTTTTCTGACATCCATTTTGGTCTCTTCTTTCTTTCCTTTCTTCACGTATGATGTCCTTCATGTCATTCCACAATTGTCTGGTCTTCGGTCATTAGTAGTGTTCAAAACACGAAATCTATTTTTGAGATGGTTTCTAAATTCAGGTGGGATATACTCAAGGTCATACTTCAGCCTTGTGGAGTTGTTGTAATTTTCTTCAGTTTCAGTTTGAACTTCCATAGTAGCAACTGATGGTCGGTTTCACAGTCAGCCCCTGGCCTTACTCTGACTGATGATATTGAGCTTTTCCATTGTCTCTTTCCACAGATGTAGTCGATTTGATTCCTGTGGATTCCATCCGGCAAGATCCATGTGTACAGTCGTTTATGTCGTTGAAAAAAGGTATTTGCAATGAAGAAGTCGTTGGTCTTGCAAAATTCTATCATGCGATCTTTGGCATTGTTTCTATCACTAAGGCCATATTTTTCAACTACTGATCCTTCTGTTTCCAACTTTCACATTCCAATAATCAGTAATTATCAATGCATCTTAATTGCATGTTTGATCAATTTCAGACTGCAGAAGTTGGTAAAAATCTTCAATTTCTTCATCTTTGGCCTTAGTGCTTGGTGCATAAATTTGAATAACAGTCATATTAACTGGTCTTCCTTGTAGGAGTATGGATATTTTCCTATCACTAACAGCATTGTACTTCAGGATCCATCTTGAAATGTTCTTTTTGACAATGAATGAATTACTACTCCTCTTCAAGTTGTCATTCCTGGCATAGTAGTCCAATTTAAAATGGCCCATACCAGTCCATCTCAGCTCACTAATGCCTAGGATACTGATGTTTATATGTTCCATTTCATTTTTGACGATTTCCAGTTTTCCTAGATTCAGGCTTTGTACATTCCATGTTCTGATTATTAACAGATGTTTGCAGTCGTTTCTTCTCATTGTGAGTCGTGCCACATCAGCAAATGAAGGTCCCAAAAGCTTGACTCCATGCACGTCATTAAGGTCAACTCTACTTTGAGGACGTAGCTCTTCCCCAGTCATCTTCTGAGTGCCTTCCAACCTGGCGGGCTCATCCTCTGGCACTGTATCAGACAATGTTCCACCGCTATTCATAAGGTTTTCACTGGCTAATTCTTTTCAGGAAGTAGATAGCCAGTTCCTTCTTCATAGTCTGTCTTAGTCTGGAAGCTCAGCTGAAACTTGTCTGCCATGGGTAACTCCGCTGGTATTTGAATACCAGTGGCATAGCTTCCAGCATCACAGCAACATGCAAGCCCCCACAGTACAACAAACTGACAGACACTTGGGGGACTTTTCCTTACATGTATTTTTTTCCCAAAGCTTACTTTTTATAAAATCTTATCCTCCTATGACAAATTTTAACAACTAAAAGTTTATAATATACTAAATTACTATATTTATTTGAATATGTTTCTAGACTTTCCAATCAGTACCAGAATCAGTGCCACAATCCTTTAGTTATTGTACTTTTACATTATATATTAATTTTTGGATGAAGAAATACCTCCTAATTGTTCTTTTTTTGTATAACCACAGTTTCTAATATTAATATGTCTTATGATAATTTTGTTAAATTGAAAAATAATTCCATTTATCTCTGGAAATAAATTGCTTTAAGTTTGTACATTAATTTGGGCAAAAACTGAAATATTTATAACATTGAGCCTTCAAAACCAAAAACATAAATTTCTATTCCTTCAATGTTTGTCTATGTCCCTTGGTAAAATATTTTTCTTTAAATAAAATTCTATATGTTTGTTAGATATGCTGTCCTAATATTATGTTAGACTAACATTATGAATAGAATTTTTTCTATTATGTTTTCTAAATGATTGTTTCTGACAAATAGGAAACTTACCGATTTTTTATATCTATTTTATGTCTGGCATTTTTTTAAACAGTATCATTAATAAATTTGTTGATTATCTCACATTTTTCAGAAATAAAATTATATAGTCTACAAATAAGAATACCTCTGTCTATCAGTTTATGAAAATGTTTGTAGCTTCTTTCATTTCTTATTTAGCTGGAATTTGAAAAAGAGCAGTAAAAATCAACATCCTAATTTAATGCAGCTTAATTAGAATGCCTGCAGTATTTTACTTTTAAGTATATATTATCCATAATTTTGAAATAGATTTCCTTTACTGGATTAAGTGAATTTACTTTTCTTCCCAGCTTGCTGAGCACTGATTAAAATGAATATTGTTTTATTAATATATTCCTAATGCATAAAATCAATATATTTTAAACCTGATAAACTAGTATAATATATAGACTAATAGGATAATATTTTACAAGGTAAAAAGTATTCATTTGAAAAGTTTTTTATATATATTTACTCCACTTGTTAATAATTTTAAAGGAACATGATACCGTTTACCTGTAAAGCCTGTTTCAGTTGTTCCTGAAGTACTTTGTTCTCAATTTCCAGTGCATTCGCAGTATTCTAGGATATAGTAAGACAAAAAGTATTAGCTTCAGTATTTTTTGTTTTTATTAATTAATTTTTGTAATTATTATCTTTTTAAAATCCAGTGATAACAAGGTTATGATTTTGCATGTACATTTAATTGTACCCTTCTCAAGCATCATGGTGAATAGTGTCTGTAGCTATAACTTCTTGTTGACTTTTCACAGGAAAATTGGCCCTAAATCTGGCAAATTACAACTACAATAAATTAAAAGTTTCATTTAGCCTTTTCTCTAGGCATAAGATATTTAAATTAAAACATTTTAAATTTTATTTTAAAAAAAGCATTTCTCCTCATAACACAAGATAAACATAGTTTTGACTTTGAGAGAATGAATGGATTTTATTACACATGAAAAGACTCAGAAATTCTCCATCAAATGGACAGCAGTTTGAGAAAGCAGGTCTCAAGTCTGCATTTATGCTTCTTGTATGGGAGAGCAAGTTCCTATGGACAAACCCTGCTACATACAACAACCATAAACTCTAGACAAAATGCAAATATCAACACTGGAGAGCAACCAAGAGCAGGTATATTCTTGAGAGAAGGTGACACTTGGAAGAAGGGAAGGGCACCAAGTAAGATTCCCATCTCCATGGCTTCTAGCCTGAGGGCAAGCCTTAGTCTGCACCATGCAGGGTGCCTAATAGCAGTAGAAAACCTGAGGTTTTATACCCTAAGTACTGAAGGACAGAGTTCCAAGCAATCACAGCCACTGGAAAGATTAAGAAAAAATCACCCAAAGAAGATAACCAAAGAGAGATATGTTGAGGTGAATTGATTTATATGGCCTTTCTAGCCATAGTCTTGTAATTCCCAGAGAATGATTGCCTGGGACTATGCATATTGGGTGACTTATGGTCCACCAAGGGGATTGGTCAGTTTAGTATGCGAACTGAGTGACCTACAATCCGCCAAGGGGATTGGTCAGTTCATGGTGCTGGTGGAGGGACCATGCCTTGATATTGACAAGGAGTTTGCTTATATAAGGGCCAATCCCACAGGGGCTCAGGAGAGCCTTACTACCATCAAGAAGAGACTGGAGTAGAGCACATCCTTCAGACAAGGACCCAGGGTCCCTGTGTGGAGAACCTCCTAGACTCAGAAGAAAGAGCAAACACTGGAGATGACAAGAGACAGTGCTGGAAGACTTCTCACCCCACGGAGAGAGGCAGCTGGAGTGGGCTTGCCAGCCCATGGAGCAAAAGCTGAGCACTTTGTGCAGGAGGCTTGCTGGTGAAGCTAAAAGAACTATAACATTTGCTTATGCAGGGCAGAGGCCTGAATGTGCCCTGTGGAGGGGTCTTCCTAAAGCAGGTCAGACCAGGCACCTCTGGGCAGGAGGCCTACCAGTAGAGCTAAAAGAGCTGTAACACTTGTGTAGGGCAAGAGAGGCCTGAGTGTACCCCGTGCCGGGGCTGCATGCGTCCCCTCGTGGGAAGCGAGTGTTCAACAGCATGGCAGCAAGACGGTTCCAAAGGCCAAGTAGCATGGTGGGAGCCAGCAGCAGAGGCTTAGAAGGGCCTAGCAGTAGAGGCTTGGGAGATCCAGTGCAGGGATCTTGCTGCCAGCAGGCAAGGCACAGGAAAGACCAGTGGCAGAGCAGAAGCCTCGGACAGTGGTGGTAGCCAGGGCAGTGGTGACATGAACACAGCATCTGACCTGAACCATGGTGTGCCTGCCCGGCAACTTAAGAATGGACATGGGTAACTTAGGGAAGGGTAAGTGTTTCCCTTTGGGAATCTACTATCATTGTTTACCATTTGCTTTCTATAAATACTAACGGCTTTCACTTTGCCAACACTGTGTAAGTGTCTTGTGTGTCCACCTGGATCATAGATGCATGCAGCACCCATGAAATGGTTGATGCCAGTGGGTATATGTGCCTCATTCCTAGTAGTTTTATGGCTGCCTGGAAGTTTGAGGCACAGCGTGCCTGCATGTGCAATGCAGACACACATATATGAGCATACAAGAGGGAGTCCCAACTTTTTTGTATAAATTCTCCCCAAATCTTTGCCTGACTCCTGAACCGTATGTGCACTGGGAAGACTTATGCAACCTAGAAAAAGCTAAAAGAACTGAAATGCAATTTGAGCTGCTGCCTAAATACAGAATTTGAATTTTGCATTCAATCATGTTAATTACATATTAAAGCCAAAAAATACCAATTGACAGAGTAAATATAACAGAATCCAAAGAATTTCAGCAACATAAAATCAAAGACTACAGCTGTCAGTATGGATTACACCTCATCACTAAGAAAACAGAAATCCTCACAACTAGACCAATAAGCAACCTCATGATAAATGGAGAAAAGACGGAAGTTGTCAAGGATTTCATTTTACTTGGATCCACAATCAACACCCATGGAAGCAGCAGTCAAGAAATCAAATGACATACTGTATTGGGAAAATTTGCTGCAAAGGACTTCTTTATAAAGTGTTAAAAAGCAAAGATGTCACTTTGAGGACTAAGGTGCCACTGACTCAAGCCATGGTATTTTCGATCACCTCATATGCATTCAAAAGCTGGACAATGAAAAAGGAAGACGGAAGAAGAATCAATGTGTTTGAAATATGGTGCTGGGAAAGAATATTCAACATACCATGGGAAACCCTGATGGTGTAGTGGTTAAGAGCTATGGCTGCTAACCAAAAGGCTGGCAGTTCGAATCCACCAGGTGCTCCCTGGAAACCCTATGGGGCAGTTCCACTCTGTCTTATAGGGTCGCTATGAGTCGGAATTGGCTTGACAGCAATGGGTTTGGTTTTTTTGGCTTATGGACTTCCAGAAGAATGAACTAATCTGTCTTGGAAGAAGCACAGCCAGACTGTTCCTTAGAAACGAGGACAATAAGACTTCTCGCTTACTTTGAGCATGTTTTCAGGAGGTACAATCCTTGGAGAAAGACATCATGTCTGGTAGAGAACCAGTGAAAAAGAGAAGGACCTTCAACAAGATAGATTAACACAGTGGCTGCAACAATGGGCTCAAACAGCAACAATTATGAGGATGGCATAGAACCAGGCAACGTTTTGTTCTGTTATACGTAAGGTCACTATGAGTCGGAACCAACCCAACAGCACCTAACACAACAACAGTATAATACTCACTATAAAAAACAAAACAAAACCTGTTTTCGTCGAGTCGATTTCAACCCATAGAAACCCTATGAGTCAGAACATTCACTATATCCAGGCTATAATTCGAAATTATTTGACATTTGAAGAAACAGAAAAATGTGAATTACTTTTAATAAAAAAAAAAGGCAATCAACAGGGAGTGATCCCAAGATAATGCAGATGTGAGAATTAGCATATGGAATTTTAAAGCAGCTATTATACCAATAGTCCCTGGACTCCCTGAGTGGTGCAAATTGTTAATATGTTTGGCTATTAGAGGTTTGAGTCAACCCAGAGGCATCTCAGAAGAAAGGCCTGGCAATCTACTTCCAAAAAATCAGCCCCTGAAAATCCTGTGGAGCATAGTTCCACTCTGACACAAATAGGGTCATCATGAATCCAAATCCACTCAATGGCAACTGGTATTATAACAACACTCAATGTAAAGGAAAATATGCTCATCATGAATGAAAAGACTGAAGTCTCAAGAGAAAAATAGAAATTATTAAAAATGGAAATTCTAGAACTGAAAAACACAACATATGAATTTAAAATTTTACAGGATGGACCTTTTGGAGCAGACTGGATATATGACAGTGGAAAAGTCAGAACATCTGAAGATAGATCATTAGCAATTACCCAATCTGAGGACAAAGAGAACAAAGATTAGAAAAAGAAAATAGGCAAAGACTTAGGGACTTGTGGGATAATATCAAATAATCTAACATGTAATTACAGTCCTATAAGGAGAAGAGAGAAAGAGGTAGAAAAATTATTTCAAACATAATAGTTGAAAATTTCCCAAATTTGGCAAAAGATATATTTACATAACCAAGATGCTCAGCAATCACGAAACTGATGAATACAAAGAAAATAATGCCTGTATACATTATAGTGAAACTATTGAAAACCAAGTAAAAAGAAAAAATCTTAAACGCAGCCAAAGAAAAATGCCATTACACACAGGAATAGTCATTTGAATGCCTGTTTGTTTCTCATCAGAAAAAATGGAGGCCAAATGAGAAAGAAAAAACATCTTTAAAATGTAGACCAAATGTCCCTTCTTTGGAACAGACTTATACTAAGTAACAAAAGAAAACTCCAAATCTATATTTTGCTTCTCATTGAAATTTGAGATAACATGGCATCTATAATTGAAATAAAAATAAATCTTGTAACCACTGCTCAAGAGATTTCCACATATGACCTATAAGATTCTGAGGAAACTCATTCCATAATCAGGTACAGAAATGTATCATGTGATGAGACTAAGTAACTTCAGCAAGGACATGGAGAACCCAGGAAGGAAAGGGAAAGGGGGAGAGTGCTGACACATTGTGGTGATTGAAATTAATGTCACAAAACAATTTATATATAAAATTTTTGAATGAGAAACTAATTTGTGCTGTAAACTTTCATATGAAATACAATAAAATAAAAAAGCAGCAGCCTTGGGTTCAAGTGGATTATTTTATCTACATATACTTTAGATAAACAGTATTATTACTGGAATAATAGTCCTCTAAATAAGAGGTGCGCAGCTACTTGTTCATTTTAAAAACTAAAATAAAATTTCATATGACTTACTAAAACATTTTATAAGCATCAAAATTACTTAAACAAATAGTAATACTGATTCTATTAATCACGCCTGCATGAGGAAGCAAAATTGAATAAATTTCATTATTATTGCAAATAGTGAGATTCAAATAGCCAGGTTTGCAGTACAGATTTCACTACAACTCTATTCTTTAACCCTAAGCAAATCTACTGGTCTCTGTAAAACTAAAACGGACTAGATCTGTAATGGTTCATAATAGAGTGCTGGTGAGGGCTGGGAGGGAATTCAT